AGTGTTTTAGCCAGGCAGGTTCCGCTCTCCTTTGTGAGTCCACAGGTTTGCACTGAACTTCACTCCTTTGAGACGGATAGCTTTGTACTTTCCGCAAATCCAAATGCTCTTTATCTTTAAGCATCGATAGTACTGCAAACTCAGACCCAAACACTCTGTGCTTATCCATGCGGTTTCTGTTACCTGAGAACAACATCAGGTCATCTTTTTTTGAAGGTGTGGTTTCTGAATGGACACAATTATTCAGAATTTCATTCAAAATCTACTCATGATGGCAGATTTTTGTTTGTTTTGCTTTGCTTTTTTGGTCCTAAAGATGAAGTCCTTGGGTGGTCTACATGGTTTTTGCTTGCCTACTAATCTGAAAGGCCTGGTGATCTGCTTCCATAACGACCCCAGCCAAGACAACTGCACAGAGAAGGTCTCAGCTCAAATGCAGGGTCACCGTACATCAATACATTTAGGTTTGGGGCCTAAAAATTGGGAAAAAGTGATAATAAGACCATCTTCCAGGAGTCCGTAGGGTGAGCCTTTCCCAAACAATTATAACAAAATAGATTCAGGGCAATGATCACTGTAGGCCTATGGAGATAAAGGGCTCCTAAGACACCTCAGGGGAGGTGTGGGGAGGGTGGGTAAGGCTAAAGAAGTCTTCCCGAGGACGGCCATGATGGAAATAGCAGCTGCCTTTTTGCTGACATGGAGGGATACAATTGTCAGACTGCGCCCTCTAGAGTCTGGCACAGAATCCCACTCAGAGAGGGTAGCTCCAGAGAAGTGGCCGCAATGAAGTTCTGGGACATCCCAGGAGGATGGAACAACCTGAGCAATGGCACCCCAAACCCAAACCCAAATCCATTTCCACGGAGTCAATTCTGACTCATAATGACACTCTATAGGGTTTCCAAATTGCCCATCTTCAGAGAAGTAGGAGCTTCATCTTTCTCCTCGGGGGCAGCTGGTGGGTTTGACTGGCTGGCTCTGTGGTTAGCAGCCAAATGCTCAACACATAATGCCACCAGGGCTCCTATTCATCACAAACCCATACTTCAAATTCTCTGAAGGCTTCCTCTCTCTCCTAAGATAGAGACCAAAATCTTACTGTTCCAGGCATCCTGGAACAAATCCTGGAGTAGCTGGCCTGCCTGCCTCTCCCCTCTCCCCCTCTCCCTGCCCCTCCCCATCACGCTGTATGCTCCTGTGACACAAAACTTCATTCAGTCCTGTCCCTGGCTTACATTTCCCCGGAATCTCTGACGCCAGTAGAGTAGCTGAGTACCATAGTGCTGCTCTGGTCACAGGACCTTTGTGCATGTTTTGTACATTCTTTCCCTCTCTATTTAGTCTGCTCGCTCTTCAGATCGCAACTTGAGTCGCTTTCCCAGGGACACTTGCTATGGTGTCCCAACTGAGCCAGTCTTTCATCTGTCTCAGAGTGGTGTGTGATTCTCTGCTTTTGATGCTTTGATAAACCACTAGTAGACACACAGGATGCAAAGGGACAGAAGAATCGCTAACTCTCCCAGGCCACATGTTGATCAGATAAGTCCTCAGTCCCACCCTTAGGCACCCATGGCTATACTTCTTTAAAAAAAATTTTTTTATTGGGGACTCATACAATTCGTATCACAATCCATACATACATTCCATTGTGTCAAGCACATTTGTACATTTGTTGCCCTCATCATTCTCAAGGCATTTGCTTTCTACTTGAGCCCTTGGTATCAGCGCCTCATTTTTCCCCCTCCCTCCACACTTCCTCTCCCTCATGAACCCTTGATAATTTATAAATTATTAATATTTTGTCATGTCTTACACTGTCCAAAGTCTCCCTTCACCCACTTTTCTGTTGTCCATCCCCCAGGGAGGGGGTTATATGTAGAACCTTGTAATCGGTTACCTATTTCTACCCCACCTTCCCTTCACCCTTCTGGTCTCACCACTCTCAGCACTGGTCCTGAAGGGATCATCTGTCCTGGATTCCCTGTGTTTCCAGTTCCTATCTGTACCAGTGTACATCCTCTGGTCTTGCCAGATTTGTAAGGTAGAATTGGGATTATGATAGTGGGGGGGAGGAAGTATTAAAGAACTAGAGGAAAGTTGTATGTTTCATCGTTGCTACACTGGATCCTGACTGGTTGTCTCCTTCCTGTGACTGTTCTTTAAGGGGATGTCCAGTTGCCTATAGATGGACTTTGGGTTCCCACCCTGTACTCCCCCTCATTCACAGTGATATGAATTTTTGTTTTATGATAGCTGATCCCTTTGACACCTCATAATCACACAGGCTGGTTTGCTTCTTCCATGTGGGCGTGGTTGCTTCTGAGCTAGATGGCTGCTTGTTTACCCATGGCTACACTTCTACTGGGGGAACCTAGGGGGGACCTTGAGAAGCATGCACTGGTGATTGAAAAAGAGAAACAGCTTCTTGTTTCAATGTGTGTGTGTGTGTGTGTGTGTGTGAATGTGCTGTTTCCATTCATTTCGTTGTTGGTTCATTATTAGTATTTTGGGCTGGGGGTAGGGGTGTTGTGTTTGTGTTCTTGGTTTTTGTTATTCCCTTCTTGCTGCAACCGTCTCCACACGACCCAGCCACTCTTACACTTATAGCAGCTAGAACTAGTGGGCAAGGGTCACTATCTTCTCCATTGCCACTTGTTGAACAAATGGAAGCCAATACGAGACCAAAACTGCCTCAGAGAAAACAAGCAATCTCAGTTTACACGAAGAAGAAAGATAGACTAGTACACACCAGTGACCAATATACAGAGCCAAAGACCTTCGTGGGGTGGGAAGGGTGGTGTTGAGTTGGAACTACTGTTAGACAACAAAACCAAAGACATCTAAATTGACGAAGAAGAAGTACTTTCAGATCATATGAGTTTTATTCATTAAAGCCCCCAAAGATTCAAAAGAAAATGGTTGGAAATAATTAAAAGATTGTGTACCGGGCAGGGTCCAATACTAACACAATAATCAATTGGAATCCTGTATACTAACAAAGGCCCGAAAAGAAAACTAAATATTTCAGAATAAACTTATCAGGAGAATGAAAGACTTATACAAAATACAAAAACAAAACTATAAAACATTACCACACGAAGCCAAACAAACAAGCAAACAAACAAACAGACAGACAGACAGACAGACAAACTCATTTCCACTGAGTTGATGCCATCTTGTAGTGACCTTATGGGACTGGGTAGAGCTGCCCCTGTGAGTTTTCGAGACTGTAACTCTTTACAGGAGGAGAACGCTCTATCTTTCTCCCTTGGAGAAACTGGTGGTTTTAAATTGCTGACCTTGCAGTTAGCAGTCCAACGTATCACCAAAAGAAAGCCATGTTCATGGATTGAAAGACTTAACATTGTGAAAATGTCAGTATTGCCCCAAAGCAGCCTATAAATAAAATGCCATTCCTATCCAGATCTCCAGATTATTTATTTATTAATCATTTTATTGGGGCTCATACAACTCTTATCACAATCCACACATACATCAATTGTGCAAAGCACACTTATATATTCGTTGCCCTCATCATTCTCAAAATTCTTGCTTTCCACTTGGGCTAGATCCCCAGATTATTTAAAGAGATGAGGCTTGGTGTGGAAAGAAAAGAGACACAGTTGATAAGCAAAGCACTACTAAAGAAGAGGAAGAAAGTAGGAGGCCTCTTGCTTCCAATCTCAAAGCCTACTACACAGCCATGGTAGTCCAGACGGCCTGGTGCTGATACAGTGAAAGATATACAGACCAGTGGGACAGGATAGAAAACCCAGAAATAAACTCAGCCACCTATAGGCAATTGATTTTTCAACAAAGGGCTGAAGCAAAATAAATGGGGGAGAAATAGTCTTTTCAATAAATTATGCTGACAAAATTGATTTCCATCTGCAGAAGAATGAAACAATACCCAAAGCTCATTCCATCTACTAAAACTAACTCAAAGTGCATAAAGTTGCTAAATGTAAACCCGACAGCTGTGAAGGTCATCAATGAAAAGTATAGGGGCACACTTATGGGCCCTAATCCATGGCATAAACATACTACTAAAGATAATGAAAAATACACACAGAAGACAAAATAGACAAGCGGGACCCCTTAAAAATGAGGCAACAGGGAGCCATAAAGGGTGGATGAGAAAGATGACACATTTTTTCAACTATAGCAATAGTTTTGGTAACGCTTGCTACACACACACACACATACAAAGAAAGATATTTTGGATAAGTGAGGGTGAGAGTAAACTTGGATGGTAATTAAAGAAAGTGGGCAACAGATGGGGAAAGAAGGAAGGCAATCACAATCCTAGTGATTGTGCTACAAGCATCTAGGTGCTGTGTCTTCTTTGTCCTTAGATTCCCCAGGAGAGACAGACATGCATTTTCTTAGAAATTGTGAAGATAGTATATGTGGGCTGGAAAGCTATCAGAGAGACCATAAATGGAATCAAATCTGGTCCAAAGACCTGTTATGTTTGGCTCACTCACTCTTCAGTTGGAAACATTTAAAAATTGAGTCTTTTCCTAAATATGCCATCATTGCAAAGCTCTGCCCACACTGGTATCCATGTACCACCAGACGGCACCCACTTAGAACAACTGCCCCCTTGCTGCCAGGCTTGTGTGCTCCTGTGTGGCCACGAACATTGACCAGTCTCCTGCCTGGAGGGTTGGTGGGGCTCACTCAGACCTGCATGGGCGCTGAGGGCATCTGGGTCAGGGCCCTGGCTGAAAAACAGCTCCCCAAAGACCATCATTTGGGGTTCCATGCAGCCAGGAGGTGAAAATGTTATTTATGTTTCCAGCAGAGATCTGGGGATGGGCACTTCTGCTCCAAGAACCTACACTCTCAGAAGTCTGAGGAACACGGTTGAGAAGACTCCTCAGAATGTACAGTATATTCTGCCAGCACCTGAGTTCAGGGTGACGGAGTAAAGTGGGTCCTACAAAATCATGGCGCGGTACAAATAACCCGATAAGGATGTAAGTGGGATCCATAAAACTTTTATTGATATGTTTTATCATGCCCCCAAAGGTTTTTTCCCCAACATTCCAATTCCAATTGAAAACGAGTCAACGAGTAAGGTTGGGATTGCAGCCTGCTGCTTTTGGAGAGGCTCCCTGGTTAGGAACAAGCATGCGCACTCTACAACTATGCGATCTCATCACTCAGAACTGCATTCTGGGAAACGCCCCCGACAGGTCCCTTGTGGGATGCTATTTTGCGCCGTTAGTCGGTTGTAGCTAGGAAACATCGATAAAGACAACAGCCAAAACAATTCCATCCTAAGACTTCTTGGGACATTTTTGGCTTTGAAACTAGTGACCCCCCAGGATCTATCAGCACTCAGCCTACAATCAGTATTCACGTTGTTTCCTGGCCGCCCTGGCAGGACCCCAGGATGATGTCAGCGCACACTGGTTCTCTTTCTTGGTACGATCTACGGATTCTGGCTGCGGGTGGGGACCCTTCAGGAGCGGTTGGATTTGCTGCAAGTTGGACAGAGGAGTTGGCCCTTGGTGACAATGTAAGCCCGGCCACTCAGTGGCTGCTCACAGCCCTCACAGACAAAGTGCTTTCGGTGCCAGGCCAGGTCTTCCACGCGCTGGTAGTCCTCCGAGAATATTATCTGTGGAGGTGAGAAGAAAGGCACAGCTCACGTCTTGTCCTTACGTAGAGACAGTGGGGCAAGGACACGTTGTAGGGGGGTGATTCAACCTATCCTATTCTTGTTTTGACTTTGAAAGGCCCCCCAGGAGACACCCGGCATAATTCTGAAGCAGTACAGATAGCATTTGGGGGAGCCGATGTTTAGTTTCTCACGTTGGGAAAAAGGAACAGTCTCCATCTCAAGCAG